CAGCCACATATTCGTATTCGTATCTCTAAATTAGCCGTTCAATTTGTCCTTTGCCTGGACAACTTCTTCACCTGCACAATTTCTTCGTTCCTGTCGCCTGTACAATCTGTACCTTACCTGTATAACTCTGTCTCGCCTGTGCAACCTCTCCCTCATCCGCATCGCCCTCCCTTCCCTCCTGACCTGCAGAACCTTCCCTTCCCTTTTTACCTGCAGAATCTCACCCTCCCTTCCCTCCTCCTCATTTGCACAAACCCCATCCCTCCCCCTCCTCCTCACCTGTACAACCTCCCCCTCCCTCCACCTCTTCCTCACTTGCACTTCCTCCCTCCTCCTATTCCTCCTCTTCAATTGCACCTCCCATCCCTCCTCCTCCTCCTCCTCACGTGCACCCCCCTCCCTCCCTACCCCTCCTCCTCCTCCTTCTCCTCCTCCTCCTCCTCCTCACGTGCACCCCACCTCCCTCCTTTCCCCCCCCTCCTCCTCCTCCTCCTCCTCCTCCTCCTCCTCCTCCTCACCTGCACAACCTCCCCCTCCGACGACGAAATAGCAACTATTCGGTCGTAATCCTGGTCATGGAAACGGACGGTCTTCGTGTTGTCGAAGATGGAGAGAAGATGCGCCTGGATGGTGTGAGAGTCCGAAGCCTGACCGAGGATCTCGAGCAGCGCGGGATCCGAGACGAAGAAAAAGCGCGGGAACATCAGCCGTTTTTTCTCGAGATATCTGGTTGGAAGAGTTGAAGGTTGAGGTGGAGGGAACGAGGGAGATTTTATTTTGTTAATGTCCTTGTAAATGAATGCATATGTATCTTTATAATCATTATAATCTGATTACTATTATTACTGACATTCTTATGATCATTATCACTATCATCACCACTGATTTTATCACCATCAGTATCGTTACCATAGTGATATCACCACTATCAGCATCGTTATCACTATCACCAATATCAGAGCCATCATACAAGCATAAAAGCCAACCCTAATATCACTGCTATAATAATCCTTACCCCGAGAGGCTCTTCTGGCAAACCTCTAGCTGGTCTTGCAGATATGGCAACAACTGCTTTAGCATGTCATCTCCCACGCAACACGTCACTACGTTGGGGTTGTCATGCGCTCTTGCCATAATCTTTTGCCAGTTCTTGTCAATTACGTAAAATCTTGAATGGGAAAAAGCAGATTAGCGGTTCTATGATATATTTTAGATAGCCTTAGCGAATCTACATCAGTCATATTTTAAAATAATGTTTGAATCTATAAATGATAATTTTATAAATCAGTATGAACCTACCTAATGGTTTCTTTATCAAAAATTGGTAAACTCTTGCCTTACTTAGGCAATTGTTAGCTTACATTCCTTTGGCAATTATTAGTCTAGCTATTGGCTTCGTTTATCAATGTTTATTCACCTTCTGACTTACTCTGGCGATCGTTAGCTCACCTCTTGGCTTCCTTTGGCAGTTGTTTGGCGATATCTCCGCCCACAAACACGGCCTCGAGATACACCCACAGATTCTGGACGAAGAGCCACCTCTCCAGTATCTCGTTGGTGTTGGACAGGTCGCTCACCCATTTCTGGATCTGCTTTCGGAATGGGGCGTTGTACCTGTTCAAAGTTCATTATATATGTAATTTATGCTTGATGTGAAATGAATTACATCATTAGTAATGGCAAATATATATATATATATATATATATGTATATATATATATATATATAAAGGCTGAGTATCAAAGAAATAACTAAAAACAAGCGAGCGAATTTGACTAATACAGGTGGTCATTTCAAATCTTCTGTATTAAATTTTCTTCTATGGAACAAAATTTCGATGGGTATCAACTTACCATAATCAGAGGTAAGACATATCAAGCATGATTATTGCTTCTTTAGAATACTGAAAATTAACAAAAAGCTTTACAACGAGCTAGATATCAAATCAATATAAACTTAAAAGGAACACAGCTCTTAAAAGTAATACTGTACATATACTTGTGAACAAGCACATGTACAGCGCTAAACCCTAACACCGAAGAACAAACTCATTAAATAATCCTCCACCTGCAGCGCTTGAACACAGCCTATGGGCCAGAAACCACGCAGTTGTATTACCTGTTCGAGAGCAGAGAGCCAAGGATCATGAGCGAATCTTCCAGCTGCGTGATGACCTCGGCCGTGGTGTCCCCGCGCAGCAACAGCTCCCCTCGGTTCTTGAAGGTCGAAAAAGTGAGGTCGTGTCCGGCCCACTCGTTGGTCACGATTCTCAGCTTGGCTTCGATGTCCTTCTCTTTCACGGCGGATATGCAAATGTCCTGGAAATTTGGCGAGTCAGAATGATTAAAAAAAAGAAAGAAAGAAAGAAAAAAAAAAACTGTCGTATTAATTTTCGTTCGGGGTATTTTTTTTAGTCGTCAGAATGCAGATAAAGGAAATTTCCCAGACAGGAAGAAGAAAAAAGATGAAAATCAATGTTTAATAGCTATAATTATACATCTCAAAGTGCCTGAACAGTTGTGCATCAGCCTAATATCTATTTCGAAAACTAAGGAGATTCACCTCGATATCCTCCTTGAACTGCAGCAACGGGGTGTCCATGATGTTCCTGAGGCAGAAGTTGTCGCTGTCCACCTCCAGCGGCCTGCTGATGACTTCTGCGATACGCTGCCAATGACGCGGTTTCATGGCCTTGTTGGACATGAGTTCGAGGAGAGGACACATGTCGTTGAAGTCGTCGATGGTCTTCTTGAGGGTGTTGAAGGCCGGCCATTCCTTCAGGCCCTTCGGGAGTTTTCGGCATCTGTGGAGAATGCGAGAATTCTGATGAGCGCCTCGGGAAATTTTGCCTGAGAGTGTCAGTTTTCAAATTCTGGTGGCTTACCGTACATATTTCTTGTGGCTATAGAACATTGCTAGACCATGACAGGTCTGTTTCTGTTGTAAAAGTAATCTTCGCTAAACAAACTCACCTGTTTTGGAACTCCATTAGTTCATTATTGATATCCTCGATGTTGACTTCGCCCCAAGGGATGTCATAATAAGAGCTCACGCGATCGATGACGTCATTATAAAGTTTATAGAGCTTCTGGAGGAGGTTGAGTTCTTTGCGGATCTGTCCCAATTCGGGGAACTCTGAGCGAGGAAGACGGAACAGCTCCTCGCCCACGGAATAGCTGGAATGCTTCCGCCACAGGGTATCGAAGCGGTTCTGTCAGGATAAAGGCAAGTGGCATTTAGGGAGGTCGTTCAAGAAGGTATAGGGTATCATTTAGAATGGGTATTTTATGTCGAGATTATGTTTATGTTCGCAGGAATTGAAACAGACTCATAGGATGAGTATTACGAATCAGCATATCGAAGAAAAAAAACACCCGAGGTGAACCTGTACAAAATCCACGACTCCGCTCCTGCCTTCACCCTTATTCCCAATGCGAAATTCCCCAGTAACTTTCCCTCAAACAAACAAACTAAACAAACAAACAGAACCTATTCCAACTTTCCGATCACAGGCCATCTTCCGGCGTAACGTGGAAGCTCTAAGCTAAACTGGGTGAGCTTACCTGAGAAATAATGAGTCTGTCGGAAGCGTCACGCGGGTCCAGTCCGGGCACCATCGGCCCCTGAGCTCGATAGTCGTGGACGAACTTGTTGCAATCTTTCTTGAATTGTGCAACGTTGTGGATGAGTTCGTTCCTGCGATGAAAATAAGTGAATAAAATAAATAGATAAATAATCTCTGTTCTTTACCTTTCCACAAAACTTGCCTTCTATTCATAGAGAGATTTTCAAAAAGGAATTCTTATATTTCTGTATCTATCTATCTACCTATCTATCCATCCCATCTATCTGCCTATCTATCCATCCCATCTATCTGCCTATCTATCCATCCCATCTATCTGCCTATCTATCCATCCCATCTATCTGCCTATCTATCCATCCCATCTATCTGCCTATCTATCCATCCCATCTATCTGCCTATCTATCCATCCCATCTATCTGCCTATCTATCCATCCCATCTATCTGCCTATCTATCCATCCCATCTATCTGCCTATCTATCCATCCCATCTATCTGCCTATCTATCCATCCCATCTATCTGCCTATCTATCCATCCCATCTATCTGCCTATCTATCCATCCCATCTATCTACCTATCTATCCATCCCATCTATCTGCCTATCTATCCATCCCATCTATCTGCCTATCTATCCATCCCATCTATCTGCCTATCTATCCATCCCATCTATCTGCCTATCTATCCATCCCATCTATCTGCCTATCTATCCATCCCATCTATCTGCCTATCTATCTATCTACCTATCTATCCATCCCATCTATCTGCCTATCTATCCATCCCATCTATCTGCATTTGTGATAAGAAATACTCGAAACACGTAGATGTCTTACCTGAAGTAGGGCTGGACGCGTGACAGAAGGTTCTGGACTTCGACAGCCTGAGCGAGAACCTTCTGCCAAGTGAAGCGCAAGTTGTCGACTCGCTCGGCCTCTTCTTGGGTCAGTCCAAGTTCGTACTTCACTAGCAAGCCGAAGGATTCCTGATAAAAAAGGCAATTTCTGAGTATTAAAAAAATAATTTAAGAGAGAGAAAACAAAACAAAAATAAAGTAAGGTACAATAAAATATAATAAAATAAACTATAGTAGAATAGGATGAGATAAAATAAAAATAATAATGATAATAAAATAGGATAAGGAAAAAACAAAACAAAAAAAAAAAATCACATACAAAATCTCTGGAATAGACTTCGGTTGATAAACAAGTATTCGTTGTAAAGGTAACTTTCTCCATACATTTCGCGGGAAAAATGTATTGCGAAATTTTCTATTTATTATGAAGTGCAATCTAATTGAAGAATGGAAGTATGAAAAAGCATATCAATAACGAAAGAGTACGTCATCATCAGTACATATGAGAGACGAAATAGAAACAAAAAACAGCAACAACGACAACAAAAACACAAACATACCATACCACATACCATAAGAATAACCCCCCCATATCGGAATCTCTCAGCCAACCTCACCTCGATCGGATCAATAGCATCATCCATATCAAGTTCCAAGTCACGAGTCTTCCTGAGGATGTCAATGGCGCTCTTGATGTCATCGAGGTCCTTGAGAGGGCGTTCGAGGCGTCTGGAGAGCTCGTTCAGCTGGGCGAAGAGGCGCTCCATCTCCTTCATGTAGGTCGTCTTCAGGGACTCACCGTACTTGTCGACCCATAGGGAGGTTTCCTTCACGAGGGCGCTCTTGAGGTTGTCTGTGCGGTGGGAGACGAGGGGGTTGGGGTGTTAGGGATGTTTTTTTTTTTATTTGTATAAGTTTTGTTTGTTTATTCGTTGATTTTATTTGGGTTGTGGGTGGTGGAATGCAGATTTTTGCAGTCTCGGTTCTCAGGCCCTCTCAGAATCAGTTGTAAAGTAATAAATCGATAGAGATATGAAGAAAAAGATTCGACAAAGGGAGTGAAGAAAAGGGAAAGCTTAAAAAAATATAACAAGTGGCGATAATGATGTTGATGATGAAAAGGCTGTGAAAGAGAAAAAAAAAACTATGATAAAAAGGGGACACAAAACACGAATACAGGGAAAAGTGAGCAGATATACTACTGCTTATAATAATAAAAATATCAATGATAATAAAATATAAAACATAATGATGACATTAAAAAAATATATATATAAAAAAAGACCTCCCCCTCCCTCCCCCTAATATATATATATATATATATATATATATATATATATATATATATATATATATATATATATATATATATATAAACCACCTCACTCTATAACAGCAACTCAACCACAACTCACCCGTGCTAATAGCCAGCGCCCCCACGCGATACCGAGCAGGCTCCAGGCGTATCTGCTTATCCAAGTTAACGAAGCTCGTGAGTTTCTTATCGTAATCCTGCAACGAGGGGGAGTGGCTCGTAAAGTCCCGGATGGCCTGCTCCTTTTCCGTTCGCCACAGATGGTGATATCTGTCCCACGAGGCAAATGTGTGGTGGACTTCCTGGAAAGCGATGAAACTTTGGGGACTGGTGTTGTTTTGGTAGTAATAGTGGTAATGATTATCGGGATAGTAGTAGTAGTGGTAATAGTGGTACTGGCAGATGTAGTGGTAGTAGCAGCAGTAGTAATAATGGTCGTTGTGGTAGTGGTAGTAGTAGTTGTGGTAGTTGTTAGAATTAGTGGTTTTGTTGCTGGAATGACGATGATTGTGCAGGTTATGGTTATGACGGTAGTAATGGCGATAACGATGCAAGAATGGTAAAACAACAGAACTACTGCTACCACCACCAACATCACAACTATTGCTGCTATTACTAGTAGAAATAGATAAATTCCTATTCTGATTCTTATCCTTACCATCTTTATTAAACGAATTCTTACAATCGTTATTATCATTTTATTTATCAATATTTTCCTTAGGGCTGTTATATTACACTGATAGACTATCATTTTTACGCTAGAAGTGTAAATGCACGGCAAACAAAAATAACAATTATAATATGTTTTTTTTTCACAATGCTGTAAAATGAATGGAGAATAATGAAAAAAGTAAAGTGATGACTAAATAACCAAATTTACAAGTTGATATATAAAATGTATCAATAAATAAAAAGTAAATAGATAAACGAATGGTTAGACAGAAATAAATTAAAGTAGATAGTCAAACTAATAGAAATGAAGAAACGGATGAATGTATAAATAAAACGGTCGATGGAAAGGCTACCAAACATGTGGATAATAATCAATACGTCGATAAGTAAACATGCAATTAAACAAAAGACAAACACAGAAACCAATAAATGAAAAAAAACGAATACAAAAACCACGTCACCGAAACATCCAAAAAAAATACAACAATAAACAAACAAACACGACCAGAAACAAACAAACGAAAAAAAAACAGGCAAACAGACAAACACAAACAAACACAAACGACCCAACTTACGTTCTTCGTCGCCTGGAACGAGTTGGCCATGTGGCTCATGACCTTCGAGACATCTTTACTCTCGAGGACGTGCGTGTAGTAGTTCTTGGACATCGCGGGGACTTCCATGACATCACTGCGGTTCCTCCACGCCCGACGGCGCGCGGACGGAGTCAGTTCGGCGCGCTGTGGTTCCCCGGCCTGGGTCGTGCCGTTTTGTTAGTGTTTGGTGTGTTGTTGTTTTTGTTATTGTTATTGTTATTATTATTAATATAATTATTATTATTGTTATTTTGTTGTTGTTATTTTTATTACTATTGTTATTATTCTATTATTATTATTATCATCATCACCGTTATCTTCATCATCATCCTCATCATCATCATTAACATCATCATCATCATCATCATCGTCATCTTCATCATCATCATCATCATCATCATCATCGTCATCATTAACATCATCATCATCATCATCATCATCATCATCATCATCATCATCATTAACATCATCATCATCATTATCATCAT